TGGCTGGTGTGGCTCAGTGGTTGAGTGTTGACCCAGGAACCAAGAGGTCACGGTTTGATTCCCAGTCAGGGCACAGGCCCAGGTTTGGGGCATGGTCCCCGCGGGAGGCGTGCAAGAGGCAGCACGGGGGAGAAAGGCCCACCGCAGCGCTAAGCACAGCTGATTTAGCATGTGCTGGTGGAACTAAAACCACAGGAGCATTCTGGAACAGTAAAGAGACACCCTGCTCTGACTCAGCCAGCGGCCTCCTTCCCCTCCCAGCTCCGAGTGGAGTCTTGAGGACCGAGGTGAGCCGCCTTCTCTCTCTAGGCCTGAGTTTCTTTGTCTGCAAAGTGAGCAGCTGGGTGAGAAGCCATGGACATCCTCCCAGAGCCGGCAAACCCTTGACATGCCCATTCGACAGATGAGGAAACCCGAGGCCCCGGCTTGTAGTGAATGCGGGACAGCTTCCAGGTCTCCTCACACCCAGGAGAAGCCTGGCCCAGGATGCTCCGCCTCCTCCTCACCTGCCCACCGGGCCCAGTTCCCACTGGTGGGGTGGAGGGGAGGGGATGTGGAGGGCCTGTGCCTCACCTGGCGGGCCTCAGGGGGCAGAGTCCATGGGGACAGGGTGGCTCGGAGCTCAGTGTCCTCCTGAAGGCGGTGGAGAACGCCCTGGTCCGGAGCCCGGCCCTGGCTATTCCATGCTATTCCGCTGGCATGGATAGGGCCGGGCGCGGTGCAGCCGGGCCTGGGCAGGCGTGTCCCAGCTCCCGCTGCCTCTTCCGGTCCCTGGTCCTTCGCAGGGGCCACAGCTTATGTGTCCATCGCTTGGACTGTTGAGCCTCTGGCGCCCTGCAGGGCTGAGGGCAGAGATGTCTGTCTTGCTTCCGGGCCTCAGGCTGGCGGACCCCTCCCCTCCCCGTCCAGCTGTGCCCCTCCTGGTCTGCCCTGTTTGTTCTGTGTTTGGCCCAAGAGAGGGATGTGGGCTGGCAGGTGCCCTAGGTAGAGCCTGGAGGCAGCATGCAGTCCTGGCTGGCCCACCCCCCGGCCCCCTGCCCACTGCCCCCAGCCAAGCGGGGTCCCCCGTCCTCCTGCCCGGCTGAGGCAGGCCCTGGAAGGGCACAGTGACAGGCCCTCTGTGATGATCCTGTTGCCATGGCGATCCTAGGGGGGAAGGCCATCGCATTCTGCCCTCGGAACCTCCGCCCACCGGCCCAGCTCTGCTCCGCCTGCCCCTGGAGATGGTGCTGTGCCAGGGGACTCGAGAGCACGGGCCCTGCTGGAGCCCAAGCCTCTCCCGGGCATCCATCCCTCCCCCAACCCCGACAGGGACCGCTCCCCTGCACGTGGGGCTCAGAAACTAGCCTCCACTGTGAGGCGATGGTGGGTAATGGAAAGGCCCAGGATTCAAAACAGAAAACCCACATTCCAGGACGACCCGGGCCTTCATGGCTGTGTGACCTGGACAAGGCAGGCCGTGAACGTCAGCATCCCCTTCTGCGAGGCGGACAGTACCGGGCTGACCCCCGGCTGACCCGCTTCTCGGCGATTCCTCGGTGACTTTCCACGGCTGCTCCCTGATACCTAATGCTCTTCCATCCGGCTCAGTGCTGCCTGTGCGTTTTCTGGGTGCGGAGCTGCCCCTGCCTGGCTGGGGAAAGTTCGTGGCCAAGACCCAGTGGGAGATGCCAAGACCCGTGCCTGGGATGGTGCCGGGCACACCTAGCGCTCGCGGGTGTTTGTGGGGATATCCTGGGGCAGTGGTTCTCAACCTTCCGTCCCTTTAAACACAGTTCCTCATGCTGTGGCCCAACCATAAAATTATTTTCGTTGCTACTTCCTAACTGTAATGTTGCTACTGTTATGCATCGTCATGTAAATATCTGATCTGCAGGATGGTCTTAGGCGACCCCTGTGAAAGGGTCGTTCGACCACCAAAGGGGTCCAACACAGATTCCAAGCAGCGGACCCAGCTTCCAGGCCCAGCCAGAGCCACTGGTCACGGGCGCCCCCCAGCGGCCACTGGCGGGAAGGCAAAACCCCGTGGCCATCAAGGCCCGTGTTTCATGTATTCCTTCTGTGCCAGGCGCGGTGCCAGGCACATGTTTCAACTTAAAATACATCTTTGTCAATCACCAGCTAAACGGAAAGCTCTCTCTCAAGTGTTACGTGTCGGTAGGGAAGAGGGAATACAAGAGAGGGAAGTATTCCTTGCAGCAGAGGCCCTCGGCCCAGACTGTCCACTAGACTCGCCCCACCAGCCCCAGGACCCCTTGCAGACGGATGGGGCCGGAGGGGGGGGGGCGCAGAGGCCCCCGGGTTTGCGGGTGCTCCAGACACGAGAACCACTGGTTTGGAGAGTCGACGGAAACGTTTCTTGCCCGCATTCTCACCCGGCTGCCGAGGGAGGTGTTATTGTCCCATTTCCCAGATGAGGAGACTGAGGTCCAAGTGAACCTGCCCCTCTCCCGAGTGGGACAGTGTTTCCCGCAGCACGGGAGGCAGGGGTGCAACAAGTACTCCTCCAGGGCTGCCCCGGATCTGAGGAGACTCCATCATCATTGTTTGCCGGGAATAGAAAAAACGACCACCAAGGTCACTGGGAAATAGTTATCATTTTTAAGGCATTGAGAGAGGCAAAACGGTACGCACCACAGTACCTTGCAGTTTCAGCACGTTGCCATGCGGGGGGAGGTCAGAGAGGGGGCGGGAGGGATTCACGTTCAGGCTCCGGGTCAGACCGCGAGTCAGGGCTCCTGGAAGTGTGGTCCGAAGGCCACCGGCTCCTTAGAATGCAGTGGCCGCTCGGTCCCCCGGCGGATTCTGGAGAAAGATCCCGAGAAGCCGTCCTTGTGGCCACGGAAGGCCAAGGGCCACCAGTGCATGCCCTGCGTTCAGGAGGAGCCTGTCCTGGCCCGCAGCACTTCCTGAGGCGCAGGGGAGCCCTGCCTGGAGCCGGGGCTGATGCAGTGAAATGTGTGGAGCCAGCGGCCGAGATATTAACCAGCTGCCCCTGGGGACCTGAGTGCTCGCACCCACCCTGCGTGGGCTGGCCGGGAGGCCGCAGTGTGCCCACGGACATCCGCCCAGGCGGGGCCCACACAGCCCTGGGCCCTTTCTCCTTCCCTCGCTCAGAACCAACCTGCTCACTCCCGCCTCCGCCATCACAGCACCGCACAGTGCTGTCACCAGCCACCACTCAGACTCCCCACGGGGAGGCAGAACTCCGGCTCTGACTGAGGTGACGGGATTCTAAAGAAACGGCATCCTGCCCTGGCCGGTGTGGCTCACTGGATAGAGCGTCGACCTGGGGACTGAAGGATCCCAGGTTCGATTCAGGTCAAGGGCACGTACCTTGGTTGCAGGCACATGGCCAGTAGGAGGTGTGCAGGAGGCAGCTGATGGATGCTTCTCTCTCATTGATGTTTCTAACTCTCTATCCCTCTTCTTTCCTCTCTGTAAAAAATCAATAAAATATTTAAAAGAAAATAAAAAAGAAACACCATCCTTTGCAGATCGGAACACAGAGGCCTAGAGAGGAGCAGAGGCCCACTCAGGGTCCCCACACACCGGTGGCACAGCCAGGTCCACTGAGTGAGGCTCCTGGTGCTGCCAGAGCCCCCCGGGGCCTGGGAGAGGTGCCCCCTCTGCGGCAGCTCCTGCCCTTCTCCCCACAGCACCGCCTGCCAGAAGCTTCCGGATTGTAGGGCCCCAAGAAGGTGGCAGGATTGGCAGGGCCCGCGGTGGAGGGGGGTTACCGGACATCTCAGCCCTGCTCTCAGCCCGTCCCCCGCCCCCACCCCAGGAAGGAATTGGGGGGTCCCTGGGGGACTGAGCTTCTGGGCAGATTATGGGGAGGAACGAACACAAGGGCTCCTTTGTGGAGACGCTGCCTTAGGGAGTCAAGTGACGGCTTAGCACCCACAGGGGCAGTGCCGGGCCCTAAGTGTGGGCAGGGGCCCTGGTCACAGGACCCCAGAGAGTCCCACCAGTCCAGCGGCCAGACCTCTTGCGGGATCGCCGACCAGTCTGGAGCCCCTCCTGTGAGTAGGGGTTGCCTAGGCAGGCGGGCTGGGCTTTGGGGGCCTTTGGGGTAGATGACCGACCCAGCATATATGTGTGTGTGTGATGTCTACACACAGGCAACACATGTGCAGGGGTGTGGACGCCGGTGCGTCTGTGCAAAGGCACTGAGGTGGGAAGGAGCTGGGTGTGCACTAGGCACAGAGAGGCAGCCAGTGTGGCTGCTCAGAGCAGGTGGGGGAGGGTGGGCGCCAGTCAGTGCTTCAGCACATTTTCATGGAGAAACAATAGGGGCCTCCACTCTAAGGGAAGACAGGCAGTAAACCAGCAGATAGCTGCAAAATATAATGGTACTATACCATGCTTGAGGGCCGCGTAGGACAGCTGAGCAAGGTGAGCGACCGGAAGTGTGGGTGGCTACATCCAGGTAGGGGCTGGGGACATCTCTTCTGCAGAGATGACCTGAAGTGGAAACGAGCAATGCAGTTAGATCAGTTAGTTAGATCGGGAATAGCGTCCCCCAGGCAGGAAGACCGCAGGCGGGAGGCCGGGGCCACGCTTCAGGGAGCATTATGTGAACACTGCCGCCAGCCAGGCTCTGTTCTGGGCTCTGGGGACAGGACAGTGGACAAGACTGACCAGGCCTCTTACCCATCTTTGTCCAGGGGGGCTGGGGGAGCTAACCATCAGGGGGGCTCAGCACAGAAGGCTGGGCCCAGTGTGTGCACTGTCACTGCCCTTGTCGTGCAAGTTAAGGACACAGACTTGTCTCTGTCCTCCTTGCCAAGGCTGTGGGTGGCCTCTGGGCTCACTCCCACCTCCCACAGGCAGCCAGAGCCAGGAGGGCTGGAGGGCCACCCCACCCGCACGTCACTGTCCTGAGGAAGAGCTGATGGGTCCTGGCTCAGGTCACACATGAGCCCCAGACAGGCTCTGACCAAGGCCCCTGCTCTCTCCCGGCCCCCATCAGTGTCCTCTCTGCCCGCCAGCCCACCTGCTGCAGCTCCGGGCCCGACCATGACTGTCACCTACTCACACCAAGTGGCTAATGCCCGCCTGGGCTCCTTCTCTCGCCTGCTGCTGTGCTGGCAAGGCAGCATCTACAAGCTGCTCTACGGCGAGTTCCTCATCTTCCTGCTCAGCTACTACACCATCCGCTTCATTTACGGGTGCAGGCAGGGGGCCGGGGACACCATTCTTCCAGCCCAGGGAGGCCCCGAGCCCAGGCCTCCCCTGGTCCCATTCAGCCAGCCTGTCTTCCCGAATCCCACACAGGCTCACAGGTCCAGACCGTACCTTTTTTATTCCTCAACAAAAATGTTTGTTTAAACAATAAAACAGGACAGATAGAATCTCCGAATATATGACAGTATTTTAAATGGGAAAAGCATTCATGACTGAAGGGATTGA